ATATACGAAAGTATGCAATGCTTTTGGTCATTTACATGTAGGCATGACCTAAATTTGTTGTTAAGTGAAGATAATAGATCACTCCTACAGACTAAACAAAATGCGAATTCATCGCCTCTACACGAGGACGTAATGGTTCCTGGAAATTCTTTGCCGTAAGTTTCCCGGTATTTTTGTCTGACATTTGTTTTGGAAGCCATTTTGTTTGTCTTGACGACCGACACGGAAGTAGAAGTCGTAAATTATTTATACTGGGTTTTATTTATAATTGTAATTTGTTTTTTTCACACATGGAAAACAGCTTGAAAACATTTTTTATTAAGTCAGAAGGAAATATGGCTAAGGAAGAAGCAACAACGTTACTGGCAACTAACGGTAAACCCGCCGTGTACTGTACAAGTGTATGCGAGAATGGCTCCGCGTAGCAAATAATATCCGCAAAGTATGCAAATTAGGCACGGCCTATGACGAAATAACCACATGACATTTTAATCTCGATTAGTCCAGACATATTAGCTTTTTCCATTTTTATTAATAATAATCGAGAAAACTGGAGACATGTTTTCGGCAATTTCCGTCGTTTTACCGCGAATTATGCAAATTAGACACAGCAAATGACGGAAATAACCACATGACATTTTGATCTTGATTAGTCCAGACATAATAGCTTATTCCATTTTATATTAATAATAATAAGGAAAACATGACATATGTTCTCGACTATTTTCGTTGTTTTACCGACTCATACTACGATAAACAGTCCTATCGCCATCAGATTCACAACAAACAGCGAGAATGCCGAGACAGTCGTCAATGTAAAAATAAAACGAGAAGGATTGTATCAATCAGAAAGGTCAGGAATGAAATATAATAACTTTCTTCCAATAAATTTTAAAAAACGGAATTATAAAGAGTAAAATCGGAATTCAGAATTAGACTCAGAAAATCGGAATGATTCCGACAAAATCGGAATAGTTGGCATGTATGATTTTAAATTATTTGAAACCCATATAATGTCAAATGATATGGATTGTATAAGTTTGAGCAAAATATTAAGGAGTTTGAGTGGTTACCATAGCAACCACTGTATATTTTTTTTTAAAAAAGCATTATTTTTCAATAATTATGACACCAATATTGATAATTGTATTATCTAAAATAAGAAGCTATTGGGCAAGATTTTAAAAAATAAATAAAATCAAAATCTTTATATGTCTTCTCTCAAGAGCTGGAAAGAGGTTCACTTTTGAAAACATTCCGCGGTAGCAAATTGCCCATTTATTTGGCTGGTATTAAGAGATACTGTAAATGAAATATGAAGGAATTGAAATCTTGAAGTGAATTTTGTTTACAAGTCCAGAAGTTTGTGCATATTAAAAATTACATATCTTTACTCTTGTATATTTAACATATATTTTGTTGTCAGCAACCAAAACGAAAAACAAACCCCAAAAATGCCATTTTATATAATTTTGAATGGTACATGTTTTTACCATAATGAAACATGTGATCACTGATAACCCATTTGAAAGAAAGCTTTTAGCATCTAAAAGCAATGTGATATTAAATGTTATAAATTGTATCATTTTTATAAATTGCATAATTTTTATAAATTGCATAATTTTTATAAATTGCATAATTTTTAGTAAAATATTAAGAACTTTGGGTGGTTGCCATAGCAACTATATAATTTTAAAAATAACATACCAGTAACTGTTGTTTCACTATTGTTTGTTCTCTGCATGTATTGCTTACATGTTACAAGAAGATTTCTATTTTGTATATACATTATTATCTAACAACATTGACCAATAAAAACAAATTATTTGTGGTGCATCTAAATAATTCTCTAAAACTTTTAAAAGAAGACTAGGTAGGTACCCATACGACAGTAGGCTAAGGTACATGTAGGCCTAGGGTGGCACTAATGCTAGGATTTTGACTGGAAGAATTGTTTTGTTTTTACAATGTAGGTCTACTTTACATTTGAACATTTTCATTATTCCTCCAAATGTAGACTATCGTGGAGCAACTCCCCTTTTTTTATTCGTGTTTTTTCGTCAACAACATCAAATCTAGGCCTATTAAATTTAATAAAGCCTTCACCCTGTGTTTGTTGGCCTAGATTCAATTTGTTTTTTTACTGGCTAACAAATAAAATTTGGTGTTAAATACATGTATTTTCCCAAAATTACAATGAATTAAACATATAAATAATTAGTATGAAAACCGATATATAATGATAAAAGTTTGCGAATTTTTAAAATTACATATTTTTAATCCGCCATATATTATCAATTTTGGTTGTCATAGCAACCAAAATGGAAAAAATGCAATTTTTGACCATTTTTTACGCTGTTTACCATGACCCAAAAAGTGATCACCACATTTAAAAATAAGCATTTTACATACATGCCAACCTGAAGAGATTGAAAATCAGAATGCCTTGTATTGAGGGTAGAGCGAGGACCGCAGGCCCAAGTATGATCGGTGCGAATCACCGTTAGCGCTGGAGACGCCGCAAGCGTTAGAGGCTTGAAAGGCGTGGGGTTTGGGGCCCGCCTAAGTGCCCCAAGAAAATTTTGAGAAATTAGCACCTATTTAAAGCAGTACCTTGTATTATTGGATAAAAACAGCTGGGGATTTAGGTCCATGCATCTGAGGTTTTTTTTACCTATTTTTATATACGAAAGTATGCAATGCTTTTGGTCATTTACATGTAGGCATGACCTAAATTTGTTGTTAAGTGAAGATAATAGATCACTCCTACAGACTAAACAAAATGCGAATTCATCGCCTCTACACGAGGACGTAATGGTTCCTGGAAATTCTTTGCCGTAAGTTTCCCGGTATTTTTGTCTGACATTTGTTTTGGAAGCCATTTTGTTTGTCTTGACGACCGACACGGAAGTAGAAGTCGTAAATTATTTATACTGGGTTTTATTTATAATTGTAATTTGTTTTTTTCACACATGGAAAACAGCTTGAAAACATTTTTTATTAAGTCAGAAGGAAATATGGCTAAGGAAGAAGCAACAACGTTACTGGCAACTAACGGTAAACCCGCCGTGTACTGTACGAGTGTATGCGAGAATGGCTCCGCGTAGCAAATAATATCCGCAAAGTATGCAAATTAGTATGAAAACCGATATATAATGATAAAATATTGAATAAATTGCCTTTGTAACAATCGGGTATCATCAGACTGACGGACTGTACGGCCATTTTATTGTAAATCGTCAACGGGAATTCCAGAATTTGAGCCATTATTTAAATTATTTTTTGTTGGTGTTAATTCTTTTGCCATGGTTAGAAATCATGTTATTGTTATCCCTAAGTCCGTTCCTTCAGACGAATGCAAGTCGCAACCGGAAATGGTTCTCCCATACCATGTTGATATTTTCCGATTTCATTTTCATTCGTGTGCAGATTAAATACTTCAAATTAGGCATGAACAACAGAGAATTAAGTAATTCAGAACATTGAAATACTTGTCTATGTTTGGCAATTTTTTAACGGTTGAAAAATATTTGGTGTCAAACGTAAAGGCGTGTGTAATACTAATTGGAGCTGAGAGGAAATTTCCCTTCGATAAAAGCGCGCGAATACGAGTCACGTGATGTAAACATTGTGGATCCTTGTCAAGAAGCATTAAAATAATGGAATTATCTATCATTATGTCTTTTCAGGCAAGTCATTTATTCATATAACATAACGCTTATTTCATAAATGAACAACGAGTTGCATTTAGACGTAATTTACCCTGAATATGGGTCTTAGGCACTTGAAATTATTGTTTTCTTCACGTGTTGAAATGACGTCATCACATGCCAAACTACGTTATTAATTATTTTCCAAACCATTTTCCGAGGTATACCATTTTCAAATGCCCGGCGAGGTCACTTAACATGTTCCGATTTTGTTGATTTTAATAGCATCGAAACGGCAAATTGCCTCAAAAAAAGATTATGTGAATTGAAGTGTTCAACTTAAAAAAAAAGCATGGTATTTTGAAATGTCAACAAAGCACCCCCGACCGATCGAAAGATCGTTCAATTATCTTTCTAGTGATATTAAAATGAAAAAGAAATATTAATAATGAGTGACCTCGCCGAGCATTTGAAATAGGGTACCCTAATTTAAAAACGTGACAAAATTTTTCTTCGTAACGTCAAAACACGGCAAATTGACGTTTTTCAACTTACGCTTATGAAATAAATAAAACGAACACGTATATAAAAATTATATCACGTATATAAAAATTATATCAAACAAAATGCTTCCAAAATATTTTTTAAATTATTACAAAAAATTAAGTAGCCACTGTTTGACGTTACTTTTACATGCACGCCAATGTATACACAGGACCTTGGTTTGTTGTCCCATCCGAACGATTAGACAGCTATCCTCGTCAGGCCCTCCGTCCTGCACCACTGAAAACAGGAAACCATCCTGGAAAATCCTGCGATGAACTTTCTCGGCCAATACAGGCATCGGACACGCAACCTCCTGGCTAGCGAGCCAGCGTCTTTTTTTATCTTACCCACTTATCCACCGTGGCTCTCCGAAACACAAGAGAAGTCTACCAACATACAGGAGCAAATTTATGAACAAGCCAGCGTCACTAGTGTACATACAAGTAAAATGGTGATTTATTTTGTGGAAGAGTTGCAAAATTGATTACAGCCGAAAGGAAACTAAAATTTTGTTATGTGGATTAGGTTGGTAATCTTGTGCTGTGTGATAAATGATTTTGCTATTATGTAAGAAAAGAAAAGATGAATTTAAAAAACTATATCATAGTAGTAATGTAAAAGCTTTGAGCCGAAATTGAAAGAGTTATCTTTAGAAATATACATGATTTGTAACAAATTGCAACTATTAAGGATGTAAGGGGTCTTTAGTGAAAGAAAACTCTGGGGTAGCTACAATTCCTTGGTTTGAAGGACAGCTTTAATAAAGAACTCATAAAGAATTCAGTGAAAAAAATTATTTTATACCTGAGCCTTTTTTCGCTATATATGGTTCTCCTAAAGTCACATAAAATAGCTCATTTTTTTCATATTCTTCATCATCCACAATCCTGATACGTACAAATTGTCTGAAAAAGAAATAACAAAATACTCATTTAAACATAGGTTATGCAAGAGCTAAATCTGCCTATTGCAGGTTTTTCATGTGGACGTATATTGTCGTCGCCCCTGTCTGTCCGTCTATCCCCAATTTGTTTGTGGACACTCTACAGTGTCACAAATTTTATTCGATTTTTACGAAACTTAAAAGATAGGTCTATCTCCCAAAGATCTTGATTCCTAAGATTCCTTTCGATATTGGCATATATGCCATAAGTTTACGGACTGTGACCCCTGATTGTACGAAATATCACATTTTTAGCTTGTGGACACTTCTGTCCGGCAGTTTTGGTCTGATTTTCAGAAATTCGACCTCAAGCATCATTACAGTGTAACGGTGATATATTCACACATTTTTTTTTAAATCGGATAATAATTGTGACCTCTAGAGGAACCACTAGCTAAAAATGCGATTTTTCATACAATCAGGGGCCATAATTCCGGAAGTTACGATCCGATATATATGGCGGGCATATGCACATCTTAATTATCCTGGTTGATACTGAACGGTTAGGTATTAAACTCCATTTGATTTTTTTTCTCTTCATTACAATTGCCACTCCCTTACAGTATTATTTAGGTTTTGCCATATATCTATTTTAGCAAGAAATATACATATAGATGCTTTGTTTCAATTCAAATATTTCAGGGTTGTAAAAATCCACTAGCCCGACGTCCGGGCTAACTTACGGGCTATTGAACTATTTAGCCGTATTAGTCCTGGGTTAGTGCTCTAGTTTCACTGGTTTGTGAATTAAACTAGTGACGATATAGATAAATAAACTATAAAATATCCCACATTTATTTCTCAAATTCCAAGGAAAACTCAATCATAACAATAGATTTTCTGTATTAAAACTTAAGAGTCGTATGGACATTTTTTGTACCCTTCTATTCATTCATTCTTAGCATTTCATTTCTCCACCTTGCACGCTTTGACAGGTCACATATAAACCAGTTGAAATCAGGTTGATTTAAAAACAAAAGACTCACTTATACTTTATATAATTAGATTAGTTCTGACATAAATATTTGAAAGCATACCTTTGTATTTTTAAATACAAGATAATTTTGATTATTTAACATGTCAGGTATTTCCAAAGAATTTACTACACGTGTTCGTTACACACACGCCATGATGGATGGTTCCAGTGACCTCTGTGTGTCGTCAACTTTGACCCTATCGGCACAAAGCATGGCACTGGAGTGATAAAATAAACAATTTTACTATCCTGTCTATTTTAATATTATATCAGCACATCAAACTGGTTTGTTTCATTTTGAAACACTCTTTATAGAGTGACCAGGTAAATTAATACGGTAAAACAATTAATTTGTTAATCAGTCAAGGCTATCTCGTGCTTTGCTGGAAGTGCTAATAATAACATAACGTATACAAATCTTGGAGCGGGAATTAAAGGAGTTAATTTACTGTGATATATTACGAATGACATGTGCTATATGAAGTATTTTTATGGTCTTTAGTGAAAGAAAACATTGTTGTGGCTACCATTCCTGGTTTTGAAGGTCAGATATGATATGAAAACAAATATAGGTTTGTAGTTTTTTTTAACCGTTTCACCAGTGCAACCGAACCATGACCAGTTAACCGAGTATAGCCGTATACATCCTTAATTATTAGGCAATCAAGTCTACGATCTTTATGAAAAACAATAGGTTGGCAGGCAACAAAACATATGCCCAAATATTGATGATTAAATCTTGTACCTTGTCGAACTATGGACTAGTGGATATTAATGCCTGACAGTAGACTACTATCCCTGGACTAGTGGATTAAAAATTTTTTTTACGCCCTTGAAATATTTGTTAGGAATTGACCCGAAAATCTATAATTGTTATTACTGTATCTACATAAAGTTCTACAACTAACTGAATCCGGTGTTTATGATCTATGAATAAGAAGAAACCAGTAGGATGAACTGTCTACAACAATAAGAACCAAGCTGGTTACATGGGGAGATTGCCATCCGATTTCTGGAAAGATAGGTTAGCAGGCAACGAAACATACGCCCACAGCAGCTAAGTCGTCCGAGCAGTCAACAAGAGTTGTCGCATGTTTTTTCTATTGTCCATAATGAAACATTTATAATACACTAAAATTTGATTTAGAGTAACAACTTATTATTACGTAATTATCAGAAAATCATTAGAATTTTTTGGGCTTTTAGTTCTGCCCCATGGTAACATTTAGTATACGAAACATTTAATATCATGAATTTAGCTGTTCAAGTTATCAAAAGTCATTGAAAATCAATATTATTTACTTGTTTGTCTCAAGACCTTAAACTCTGTTAATCGATCTAAAGTCAATCGGATGATAACTTTGGTCTCTAGAGCGTCCACAAGATTTTTCAAAGTTATCAAGGGCCATAACTCTTGTAGTAATTATTGGAAATCGTTGAAAACCACTGGGCTTCTATGTCTTGCGACCTTAAACACTGTGTATAAATTTAAAGTCAATCAGATATTAACTTTAGCCTCTAGAGCTTCCACAGAATATTTCAAAGTGATCAAGGGCCATAACTCTGGCAGTAATTATCGGAAATCGCTGAAAATCAATAGGCTTCTTCGTGTCATGACCTTAAAGTAAAATAAAAACATGTGCCATTTTGATTTATACCGCCAAGGTCGTTTGCCTCATTCTAATAATCTACTACTATTGAACCAATCAGTAAGTGGGAATATACGTGACCTAGGTCGTTATGAATAAATTTCATTGTGGGAAGTCAAAACACGGTCTAAACTCGTATGCCGTAAACTAGCGCAGGGAATGAATGAATATTTTTTTTTATTTAGGCTACTGTTTTCATTGCACTGCATTAATAATTCTATTTGTTACTATCACTAAATAATAAGCATAATGTTGACATTTATGCTCAGAGCTGCGTATGTGATCAATTGCATTGGGGAAAATTTCAAAGTAATCAGATGGAAAAATGGCTAAATATAGAGATAGAGCATACGGGATGTCAGAATATATTGTAACGAATAGTAAACGGATAGTAAAATGATTCGGATAACCCTTATTTTGTATCCGTTAACGAATATCCGAATAGTAGTTTCAACACTAGTGGAGACATATGAATAAATCAACCAGCGGCTGCCAGGCAGGATCCGCCCACATTTTGCAAGAGATGGATAGAGAACAAGCTAAAAACAAACAGGATTTTTTGTACAATCAGGGTCAATAATCCAGAAAGTTATGGTCTGAAATGCGCAAATATCAAAAGGGACTGAGATCTTTGGGATATAAAGATATATTTTAAGTTTCATCAAAATCAGATAACCAGCGGCTGCCAGGCTGGATACGCCCACATTTTCAAGAGATGGATAGAGAACAAGCTAAAAATAAAGTGATTTTTCCTACAATCAAGGGCCATAATTCAGAAAATTACAATTCGATATGCGCGAATATCAAAAGGAACCGAGATCTTTGGGTTATAAACTTACATTTCAAGTTTAAACAAAATTGGATAAAAATTGTGACCTCTTTAGGGTCTACAACCTTGATATACCATATTTTTACGCTATTTGAGAACGAACGGCAGTCGTTTAGTCTGTCAATTTTGGGCCGATTTTCAACGAAATTCAAACTCAGCCGTCAGCTAAAAACGCGATTTTTCGTACAATCAGGGGGTATAATTCAGGAAGTTACGGTCCGATATGCGCGAATATCGAAAGGAACCGAGATCTTTGGGTTTTAAACTTACATTTCAAGTTTCAACAAAATCAGATTAAAATTATGACCTCTATAGGGTCCTCAACCTTGATATACCATATTTTTACACTATTTGAGAACAAAGGGCGGCCATTTTGTCTGTCAGTTTTGGGTCGATTTTCACGAAATTCAAACTCAGCCGTCCTGTTCTTCCAGCAGTCCTCATGGCTTACAGAGCAACTCCAGCAACAGAATCTACCAACCTATGTCCATTTCAAATGTTGTTTGGCAAGGAGCATACTCTCCCAATAGATATCGAACTGATACAAGTCGAAACATTACACTGGGAAGTATCAATGGTGATATTTGTGAAAATCGTGTATAGATTTCGTGCCAATTTAGTAAATTTCTGCAAATATCGGTAAAATTCTAATTATCATAAGTTTGGGCGTAGCCTATTAATATATAAATGTATAGTTTCTTGCCTGGGTCATAGATATGACTACCAAGAAAAAGTAATTTCCTCACTATATATTATAGCAAATGATAATTCACATATCAAATAACACTAATGAAAATAGGGACATGTGCCGGCTTCCACCCATGGTGATATTGCCCACTGCTGAACATTATTCAGATTCGATCGAACTCTGTGTAACAAGCTCGTCTTTGAAAGCAAAATACTGATATGACCTACTGTGTGAACCATCGTAAATTTAAAACACATTTCTTCGATTATGAACAAACTACTTAACTTTCGTTATTATAAACTTACCTGTGTGTTTGAAATCGACTCCCGTTAAATAAAATCCACATCACAACTAATTATCCCAACGAATAAAAAAGTTTTCTCTTGAAAAATTGAATTCCCACAAACTTTGACACAGAAAAATACCAATATGGAAGCTGATTATGTCACTTTCCGTGAGATATCATTTCGTATAATGGGTGACAGCATAGCAAATCGGCACTTTTACGACCAATTCAAGTTTGGTTTAAGAAAAAGCTACAGTACAAATCTCGGCTCGGCATTGTGTTTGGGCGTTCACACACGTCATAACTGTCCATATTCTTTTATTTTGTTGCCGTCTTTTACATTCTAGTAAAATCTCTGCAAATTTTATAACTGTACATCTTTTGAAATATTTTGTTTTAATGATTTGATTAGCTACTCGGATGAGATAATTTTCTTTTGAACACACATGCTGCACAACAACAATTACATTTGTTTTACGGGCCTTAAATATTACCCATGATTATCTTTAATATGATAAATTAGTAACATATTTT